ACACACACACACACACACACACACACACACACACACACACACACACAACAGATAGAGAGTGTGTGTGAGTGTCACATGAGAACAATTTATTATATGCAGGAGGTGAAGCGTGTGTGTGTGTGTGTGTATTTCCTTCATAGACACACTGCTGCTCAGTGTCTGAATCTCCTGCATCAACTGTGAGTGTCATGTGACTCATTCAACCAAAGTCCACAGAAATAAACCCTCATGACTGACGGAGGAGCAGACAAAATGTTCTTTATTCTAAGTGTTTATGTTAGAGCTAATTAAAGCTAATTAAAGCTAATTAGCAGATCAGTGGCTTCAATATTGTCCTCAACCATCAAAGGGGGGGCTACTGTATCGCCGACCACTGGCACATTTCATTGTCTCTATATTTTATCATATGCATGACTATATGATCTTATATTTAAATATCTTTAATTGATTTAATAAAAGCGATTTATTTATTTTTCCTACAATTCTGCACGTTTTATGTCTAATTGAACTTATGAATGAGGCTTTACAAATAGGCAGCGAGGGATATGTTGCACAAAGATACATAAGTCATGACTTCTGTGACTTAAAGTCCGACTCAAGTCCAAATCTACAGTTTATATTATTATTTAATAAACGATGGTGTGAGCACCTAGAAAATATAATGAATATCAATAAAAGAGGAATGTTTTGAGGATGAGACGTAATTAAATGGAGCAGAAGAAGACCTGACAGAAACCGCCAACACGTTCACAGAGAGAGAGAGACCCTGTCGACCAATCAGAGGCCGGCGTGCCGGAGCGCGACTTCCTCGTTCCAACGCATCAAAATCAACCGCGGCCACTGCAGACGAGAGACAGGTCGCCTCAATCAGCACGGCGGGCTTACAGCACGCTCAGCTCCGTGTCCACACACACACACACACACACCTGCCTGTCGGAGGCCTGTTCTGGGCTCCAGGTGAGCAAACGCGACTAATTTCTGCAAATAAACAGCGTGGATGCAGATCGGTCGGACTGATTAGCCGGATCTCACCACAACGCCGAGCTGCCGCCGTCCAGATGTGGAGAGTTAGGCTGTTAGCTAAACATTTACTTTAGAGGGGGGGGGGGGGGGGGGGGGTCATCCAGTCACACTAGTGCAGTGACACTGATTTACTTTCTTTTTGTTGGAGTCGGTCTGAAGCTTCAGAGCGTTCAGGAGCTCGTTCTCACTGACAGATGAGGATTCTGGGAGAGTTTAGTCGGTTGTTTCAAACTATTTCCTCTCATTTCCTCTCATATCTGTCTGTGGGATTTTTATCCTCCACCACGACTTCACACACATCATTTTTTACTTATATAAACTTCCAAGACTTTTCAAATGTTCATGACCAAACACACGAGAACAATAAGAATAACAGGAGTCTGACGTTCTACCCAGAGAACGACGTAACATTGAGTAACTCAACTCAACGTTAAAGTGTTTAAGTTTTCCTCAGTCAAGCTAAAGCGATGCACTCTGTCTACAGATGTTTGTGAGGAACATTTCCTCCACGTTTCCAGAACTTTGTGTTTATTTATTCTTCAGGGCCTGGAAGTTCCCATTTCCAGATTCCATGACTTTTCCAGGTTTTTCATGATTGAAATGGATGTTTTGAAGCCTTGAGTTTGTCATTTTGTCCGTCGCCATCTTGTTTTTCTTGCAACCAGTGAACAGGAAGTGACCATATCTGGACTGAGGAGGAGTGACGTAGAGACGCAGTATACGTCTCTGGTAGAGACCTGTCAATCACCGTGTAGCCCCGCCCTAAATCATCCCCTGCTTTATGGTCTGTTTGACTCTAAATGGACCATAATGTACTAAATGAACATCAGGCCGGAGGTTGCCGTCCGGTAGCTCCGTATCACACTAGATTCTAAGGCCGCCCACTTTTCAGCAGTCCAATCAAAAGCGAGGGATTTTATTTAAATCTATTTTGTAACTGTACGCCGCTCAAATATTCTGTTTCCCCGGGACCCAGACGGCTTGTGAGTATTGTGTTACTGTAATTATTAAATCATTTAACCAGATGAATCAGAATGGTTGTTTAATCACGGTGTGTGTGTGTGTGTGTGTGTGTGTGTGTGTGTGTGAGAGAGAGATGGACAAACACACACGGCGATGATGTGAGGAGTGCTGTAAGGAATGAATGAAAGAGTGGAAAGTAGCCGGTGACGGTTGAGGTCTGATTCAAACTGCTGGAAACGAGCCAACACACACACACACACACACACACACACACACACACACACACACACA